CATCATTTTCTAAAATGGCGAAAACCTGGAAAAAACTAAACGTCCCAGACATGGGGGATCACTTGGGTGAATTTCATAGTCCAAAGAGGGATACTTATCTAACCATTGAGACTGAGTTGTGCACTGTAAAAGACATTTCCAATAGAATTTTTGTCATCATCTTGTCCTGGGGAAAGGTTTGAGAGTCACTCTGTTTAGGTTGGGTCTAAAGTTCTCATTTGGAATATACTTTTTGAGGGAATGAAATCAGAGAGAACTTTGTGCTGACAGCAGGACATGGTCTCAGCCATGCCTACCGTGGTGGATGTGACTGGGCTGTACTCACCACCCACCCCGCCTGGACTGTGGGGCCAGAAGCGAAATCCTCACACTTCCCCAAATCCCTCGTTCTAGGGTTCTGGAAGTGAATGAGCTTCTACAGTTGATCTTCCTCAATCTGGCTACTGCCAGAGCTGTGGGGGCAAGCTTGATTCCTTCCTCTTTCTCACATCCCACATCTGATCCATCAGCAGATCACACTGGCTCAACCCTCCAAGTCAGCATCTAGAACCCCACCAATTCCCAGCACCTCCAGTCAGCAGCCTGGGCAGAACCACTGTCATGTACTGCCTGGTGAGTGTCTCAGTCCTGCTTCTCCCCTCACCTCAATGCCATAGCCAGTGAGCCTTGAACACTTCAGGAATGCCTGTCATACTTCACCCGTTCACTTAGGAGTAAAGCCAAAGTCCTAAAAGCCCCGTAGGATGGGCCTCTCCCCATCACTCCCTCAGCTCCAGCCAGCTACCTCACTCTTCCTCCCCCAGTGCCTTCTGATCCCACACATTTACTACCTCAAACACCTTCTCCATAAGGCCTGCCCTACTTACCACAACATGTCCCCACCACCCAGAATCCCCTTCCCACTCCCTTTTATAAGTTTCCCAACATTTGTCACTAACATACTATATAACTTATTTATTGTCTGTCTCCCTCAGTAGAAAACAAGTGCCACCAGGACACAGACTGTCCTGGTGCATTCTGAACTCCTACAACTGCACCAGCACACAGTAGGCACTCTTTCTTCAGGTATGCCAGGGCTTACCCATAGCTATGTGTTTCTCCAGAGGCAGCCGAGGTTGTGAGATTTCCTCATCCCTGGACTGCAGTTTGGCAGTGTGTTCTGGAACTCAGGAGAGCTCCCGATTCTCCACCTTCCTCACTGGCAGAGATCAGGGCTCCCCTGGTGGATCAATTCTAAAATTCTGATTCCTGGAGGCTCAACCTGTGACTCATTTCTCCAGCTCCCCAGAGTTTATAAACACTTATCTTCCTGTATTAAATCTTTCTGCTCGGAATACCAAGAATGGTTTCTGGTTTTCCACTGAACCCTGGAAAATACACAAGACAGTCTACAGTCCAGTGACAACCAAGACTACATTTTTTTCTGCCTAGGTCTTAACTGTAGATGAGCCAACAGAAAAGTTCAACTTCTGACTCAGTTATTGGGGAGACAGACCGGTGATCGCATCAACAGAAGTGTTTCAGAAGAGCAGAGGCAAAAACTGGTCATGCAGAGGGCTACTAGAGCTGCATTCTATGTCCTTTCCCTCAGATGACACCCAAGTCCTGACTCCCCTCCAGCCCGCACTTTCCATCAGAACTTTGGTGGGGACCTGTGTGTCCGAAACATAGTCTAGGAGGAGCTGTTGATATGACATCTGTCACTAGTCACAGCCATCTTAAGAGAGAAACACCCCGACTGTAGAAGTATCCATGTAGAAGTATTCCAGGTTGGAGCACTGGAAGAACAGGCTGTGGGTGCCACTCTTCCACCATGTGCCATGCCCAAGAAATGAACCGCTTTTCCTTTAAAGAGCCTAGTGCTGAATGTTCAATTCAGCCAGACCTCGCGGGTAGGTTCGAGGATATTAAAAGACGCTATCTTTAACTCTTTCAGATAGCTGAGAAATACCTGAAACATAACATGTCCATTCATATGGAAGAACTGCATATATTTTTGAGTGAGATAGAGTACATGATAAAACCACATAATTCATATCACTAAATACAATATACAAAATTTTGGAGGCTGAAATAATATACACGAAAATCTTAAGAATAAACAAAATGTTACAGTTTATTTATAAGATAAAAGGTGGTTGAACGTTTTTTAAAATTATACTTTATTACTCTATTTTATTTATTTATTTTTGAGACAGAGTTTCACTCTGTCACCCAGGCAGTGGGGCCATCATAGCTCACTGCAGCCTCAAACTGGGCTTAAGGGATCTTCCCACCTTAGCCTCTGAGACCCTGGGACCATAGGTATGTGTCACCACACCCAGCTGAATGTTTTTTTGTTGCTGTTGAGACAGGGTCTCACTTTTTTGCCCAAGTTGGTCTCAGACTCCTGGGCTCAAGTGATCCTCCTGCCTTGGACTCCCTAAGTACTGAGATTACAGGTGGGCCATCATGCCCAGTCTCAGACAGTTTATAATTTTACTACAATACAGTATTTTTTGAACACAGTATCAACTATGGAGCACCTACCCACCTGCCACTCCAGCTTCCTTCCTAATTAAACCTCATCTCACAGGCAAGAGTGTGCCCAGTGCCAGGGCTACACTGGTTTACCCATCCCCCTTTCCCAGTGCCTGGTCCAAGAGTGGGCATGTGTCCCAGCTCTATAAGAGAGACAGGGACAAGGCTGCTGGGGCTGTGGAGGTATCTTCCTTCCTGACGAGAGCAGAACAGGGAGAACGCTCCTGTATTGCTGGCCACTCTGGCTGTGGATACTCATTTGAAGAGTGTTGCTCAGAGCAGTAGTGGCCACTCTGTAACAATGAGAATGGCAGAGCAAATGGCTCCAAGAAAATCTTGGTGACATCTGGCTGCCACCCAACTCTGGAACCATCTATCTCTGGACTTATTGCTATGTGAGCTAAACATTCTCATTACTTAAGCCACATGCTCATTTTCTGTTACTTGTGCTGATCACATCCTGTTATAGGCAATTATCTGTCTGGCACTGAATAAACTTTTCATGCGCACTCTGATTAAAGCTACTACTGTCTCATTCTTACAGAAAATAAAATAAATAAAACAGAACTTAGGGAGGATATGTGATTTTTTTTCCTTCCGCTCAAAGTTACTGGTGGAGTTGGATTCAAACCCAATCCTGACTCTAAAGCTCATACTGTCTCCTAACCATGTAGTTAACAAAATAAACAAGCCTACCTACCCTTCTCTTTTTCTGTATCTAACAACAAGTATACACACAGATGTAGGTAGTAATAGATTTGCATCTATTTGCACTCATCTATGAATCTGGCTTTGGGCTTTTCTAACGTCCAAGAAAACAGACTCACCTTGTCTTTTTCCCCCACCCTTTTTATTGATGAGATCTAATCTGTACATCAGGGACCTAGAGACAACCCATGAGGACTTTGATAAGGTTCAAGCCCCAGAACTGATAAAACAAATGTGAAAATGATACATGCTCTTCCTCAAACTTTCCTGGACGGGTCTAAGAACTAAAGACTGCAAAACACCCAACATCTAACAACACAGGACCAATGAGCTAGTCCAAAAAAAACCCCAAAAAGCAGAAGAGTATTTCTGAACCAAAGACACAGAACAGAGAGGACAACAACGAAGACCCACTGGCAGTGCATCAGCTATTTAAAAGAAGAAAAATGCTGGAGTCAAGGGTTAATCAAAGTTCAGTCTTAGACCAAACAGGACTTCCAGGGCTCAACAGACCTGACATGAGCTTCAGTTCCAGAAAGGACAATGTGGTCACCAAATACTCAATGCCTTTCTTACAGCTGCTGGCTGGACAGCTTGGGGCTCTGTAGGAAAAGCCCCAGTCATGATGAATAACAGGCCTGAGGAACTGCCTAAAGGAAGACACTAGAAGCTGGAGAAGGGCAATTCTTTTTTTTTGAGTTGGAGTCTCACTCTGTCGCCCAGGCCGGAGGGT